TCAGATCGCGTCGAACCTGCTTGAGTCGTCACCGTGTCCCAGGGCATATTGACGCACGGCATGAATAAAGAGGCGGCTTTCTAAACGATTTAAGCGTGCTCGATGCGGCATGCACAAGTTTTCACCTGATTCAGGTTCCCTATGCGCTCTTTGATCCATCCAACGGCACAGATCCTCTGGAGTGATTCCCAGAAGCACTTTTGTAGTGAGCTCATGACCGGAATTCTTGTTAATGCCTTTCTTGAATGGCATCAATCCAACCAAATCTGCCTTGTATCGATTCATATCTGTGCCGTCTCGTTGTTGCAACGGAGGTTCGGAGCGGACTTTTACTACTGTTGCAACCCTAGCGTTTATATCTTATTTTTGTATTACAAAAGGCTGGAAAAACCGCATCGGTTTTGCTTCCCTTCCCTAAGTGCAACCAAAGTCGCATGGACTGTCGTCCCTTTTGTAGCTGTATTGGCTGCTGTGCTGGTAAATACTGGTACGAATTGACGCCAGTAGCCTTTTATACATTCGGATTGCTAAAATTACATCCTTGGTTGCTAGTGGCTACTAATGTACAAGTGTGTGTGTGTTTCCAGTAGAAGTAGCGAGGATGTATTCATCGAATATGTTCATCTCTATGTCGCTAAGCTGAATATGGCTCTGATGCTTTCGTAACGTATTATCAACCTTTCGAGAAGTTTATCTGATCAAACGCATATTGACAGGTGAAAGTAGAGCCGATACATTTTTCGAGAATATTACGAAATTAGTTTGTTCCCAATAGAACAGGTATGTTCGTATTGGTTTCATAGCACCCAATAACAGCTCATGTGAGAAAGTAGTCAAGAGACAGTGTGCACGCTACAGGTCCTTACTGTATGATGTGCAGTGTCTGTTTGTTATCAGTGTAGCACCAAGATGGCTGTATGATTTACTGTCACCCAGATATACTTATGGGCAAATAGAGGTGTGTTTTTGCTTCTGCCTGAATAACGTTTTGGTTCTGCACGCAGTTTTGGTGTTAGGATGTGGCTCTAGCTTATCAATGATTTCTACCAATCAAACGCGGGACAGGGTTTGCTCCAGCTCTCCAGAGTGGATGTCGTCCCGTTTCCACCTACTAAGCAAACCCTTCTACGGTTTTTGAATGCCTTTATAAATATCATTAGTTGGGAAATATCTGTTACACCCGGTTACACGAACTCAATGTGCGTGCAGCCTTCTTGCTGCAATTCATACCGCACCAACGCCATTTTATGAGTCTTCAAATTGTCTAGAAGCAAAACCTACATCCGTGAACTGGAGGCTGCCATACTTACATCGGAAGTAAACCATATTAGCCTAAAATGACATGACTGTTTTGACAAAATACGGGCTCTTTATTCCAGTCCATAAGCAGTCTTCATCGGATAAAAACAAGGGAGGATCGCTAATTCATGCATATTATTCCTTGACAGAAAGGTGGTTCACCACTCGGGAAGTTGGGAGGAAGACTTGCACTGTGATAAAAAGGTCGTCGTTTTGGCAAACTGTAGGTGTGCGGACACATCACTTGTTGATGAAAACTCCTTCAATAATATAAGATGATTTTTCTATCATAAGCCACCTCTTGAGATGGCATAGACGAAGAAAGGGGTGTAAATACTTTCTTGGCAAAATACCAGCAAAATAGCGTAAAAATATGAGCAGCTTTTTATCAAAGTTCGACTCCCCTATTCAAAAATTAACCCTTTCGTGAACGGGAACTTTTGACCTGGCTATATTATACTATAGATGGTCAAGTCATTAGGCCATAAAGGGGGTATTTTGCCCCCTTCCATAAACTACGGAACTACAGCAAATCTTCCGCAAATCCTTGTAGTTCAAGTAGAAAGGGCGATTCCGCCTTGTCCACACACACAAAATAATGAAAGGGGGCATTTTTGCCCCCTTTCATGGATGACACGAGTGATACTCGAGGATGCACTCCAAAGGGGGCAAAATGCCCCCATTAACCACGAAAGAGTTCAAATACGTATAGATTATACTGTGAGATAGGTAGCCGAAGCTAGCTATGGGAAGCTCAACGAGGATTAATAATATTAATCCACAAAAAACGACATATTATGTCGTTAGGGTGATCAACACTTGTGCAACATGATTATGTGGTCCACTTCATAATGGTTTGAGCTTTAAGTTGCCGATGTTTACGACATCGGTTTTGTGCGTTGTATTGCTTGAAGCACATCGAATGTAAATCTCAAGTCAATTTTTCTTTTTACATTTTTTTTTACCGTTGGCAAGTTGTCATCGGGAGCTCACATAGCAATGACAAGGATGGTTTCTTGAATTTCAGGATTAATTTTGGTGTAGATTGTTTCAGGAGTCAAATTAAAATGTTGTAACATTAAAACCCAATATTAATCCTTTCGCGGTACTAGGGCGCGTTTTTCGCCTTTTAAGGGGTCTACGTAAAAAAAATAATGTAGGAGTTAGTGTCTAAAAACGCGAATTTTTCGCCCTTTTACAATAGTTCGACTGATATGGTGCAACAAAGGTTATACAGTACAATTATAAGTCATCTACACTTACTTTAGTCACGTTTTTGTCAGGTAATTGATTGCATGAGAACATTTTAAATGATTTGATACAAGACATGGTCCTATAACGAGTACCGTGAAATTGCGAAAGTGCGAAAAATACGTCCTACTAGAATTAAATGACCTAGTCTTGTATAGAATAGTTTAGGCAAGACGCTCGCGAAAGGGTTAACCGCTGCGGACTTGTGTGCGAAGATGATTTCCGTCATTTTTAAAGTCGCCGATGCCAAGAAGCCCAAAGAACAAAATTAAGGCAATCCAAAAGCTGGAACTTTCTATTGCATCGGAAATGTTTTGTTTTTTTTTGCTAGTATTTACTTTATCTTTAGGCTATCGAGATGATTTAAAGTACCTCACATCACAGTCGTAGATGTTGACACGGTGGTCGGGGTTGATCAATCATCGCCAGAGAAAAGCTACTGACCACTCACCATCGCAGGACGACCAAATCGGTATTTGGTTGATCCCTGAGTGAAACCACACATGAATTTTGTGCAGCATCCGAAGAGGTATTTTGCCTCAATACGTATGATAATTAAGAATTTCAGTAAATTTTAATTATATTATTGTGTATAAATTGATGGTGTAGATTGTCGATATGCGGAGGCATCAATATTTTTGCGTATCTACCAGCTGTCTACTTACACTAGACCACGACCCCAGGGTAGCAAGGCTTATGTTCACCCGCCGCTTTCTGAATGAAACCGTGTATCGATGCGGCTGACATCCGCATGCTCGCAAGAAGCAGGCTATGTAAGCCCAAAACCACCAATATTCTTAATATAATTGTCTAGATGTGTTTGATGCTAGGCTGGTGTTAACATTTTCTCCCATTCAATCCTGTGTACCGTAGAGGAAGATGATCTCAACGGTTTTGAAAACAACTTCGAATATTTTAGTCAGTCCACATGAATGCCCTTTCCCAATTTGTCTCCCAGACCCATCGTCGCACAACGTATATAGTTTCATTTTTACGTTGAACAAGGTCCAATGTCGGAGAGGTGACGAAGTCAACATTCGCGCGCCCGTTCATTTCAACGTAGATACAGTTGGAAAAAAAAATCTATCCCACAACTGTCGTTAATTGCGATTAAGGGGAGGAAAATCAAAGAATTACGCGACGCGGGACTCGAACCCGCAACCCCCAGATTCGAAGTCTGATACGCTATCCATTGCGCCAGCCGCGCGGTAATACTATTACAGCAACACAAACCCTGAAATTTATGCGTACTGAAAAGAGGCTGCCGAGCGGAATAAAAGAATAAGTGTTTTATAGAGCGCAATAGTATTGTGTTTTGCAAAATTTTGTCAATTTTCACTTAGCTGGATGCATGATTTAAAACAAATTGAGGGCGTTTTATATATCGATGTTATAAAATGGATATATCGATCTAGTTAGGGTGGCTAATAAGCGAGGTGCGACAAGCCACATCGAGGGATCGTGGTCGATTTACGACAAATTGGTGTCCTGTAAAACAATTCCTTTTGCACATCCGAAACGCAAATCAAGGGCAGAAATAATAATTCCAGGTCTGCCTTTTCCGATCTCATTTTTACGCCTGATTTTTTGGCCGACCATGCTCGATCCAGGCCACAAAACTAAGCGACAAGCACAACATACGTTGTGCTATGGAATCAGCTTTCTCTGCTAATTGGTTGTACTCACTGGTAAATCATGAAGGTTTTGAATGTGGGTTGCCAAATCGTTTTCAGCACGGTTTCAGCAAATGACAGTATTGGAAGGTCGACGCTTATTCGTATTCGATATGCTAAGCCGTTCATGAAATGCTTGATCGTACCTCTTGGTGTCGATAAGACGATGTACAGTTTGTAGATAATTAACACTCGATAAGCTGTACGAATTATAATTGAAAGCGCCAAAAAGTCTGCTAAGCACAATGTATTTAAAACTGTTTCGACTCGTGGCATTCCTACCTCCATCTGACGTTTATAGTAAGTTATAGCGAAGTAAATTTGTAAATGAAATACGTCTGCACCAAAAGTGGTCATCATTTTTTTTCTAGATTTGCAAAGAAATAGATTTGTTCGATTCATGCCAACCAATCGTAGCCCACGTGCCAGCACGGTGATGAGATTCGCTGCAAAGCGTACATGTATCTGCGAGAATCCAACTTCCCCTGTCTATACAGTCAACTAAACTGCGCCGCTCACATCGCAAAGCCCCCAGTCAGTTAGTACGAGTTTGTTTTTAATCCAGTGTCACCATTTTTTTATCTACACATACGAATAAAGGTATTCACAAAAAAAGTCGTTATTGGAAGACTTTCAAAAACTACACAACTGCGCTCGCATCTCTTTTTGCGGACGTGCTTTGCGATCGGTTTGCTAGCACCTACCCCTTCAAATGCGAGCGCAAGCAAGAGCTATGAGCCATTAAAATTCACACAAACAAACTCACATTTGAAGGAAATGCTGCCGCCAACCATCTTGGTGGTCATTCAAGAGTCATGCAAGACGAAGCGTTCACGACTCCAGCTGCTGCTGCTGCTGCTGCGCCTGCGGATGATGGTCAGAGAGAGGAACTATCTGAAAAGCGATGCGCTCATCTCACCTCTACAGTCTCCCTGGCACGTCATGTACGCTGGTCGAGCCGACGGCAGCTTTGTTGCCACCGTGTCAATTCCACCTCGCGCTTTTGACGAGCTTCTGAAGGTTTTCTCAAGGTATTACGTCGTAGCGTCAGGTCTCGGCCGACGTGGGCGCCCTCCTGCACTAGTAGTGAAGCATGCTGCTTTAGCGTGCGTGCTACACTACTACACTGCGGCTGTTGAGGCCAAGACACTCTGTGAGCTCTTTGGAATCCCCCTGCAACACTATCACGCGTCCTAAAAAAAGCAGGTGCTGCATTAGATGCAGCCTTGAGTGAGCTTCTAGATGCTCAAGTGCGCTTCCTTCCAAACAGCAACAGCGTCAGTGGTCGCGTCAAGTGCAAGCAAAGGAGCCTCTTCTGGAAGGCATGTGGGGTTTTGTAGATGGTAAAAATTATCGAGTCCAAAGTCCCACCGATGCTTATCTACAAAATGCTCACTACAACGGTAAGTTGAACGCTAACTGGATGGCGTTCTACATGCTAACGTTTACTGCTGACACTAGGCTGGTTGCATTCAGTCTTAGTGACAGGTACATTGTGCTATGGTGTCGATGGTACACTTGTGTGGGGGCGGCACAACCTACCCGGTTCCTGGAACGATGGTGAGACGAGTCGTCAGCTACAACTACGCTTGGCGGACCCATTGTGGACAGTTGAAGGGTGTGGTGTTGTCGCGGACTCGGCGTTTCCGGTCAGTCGCGCACTGTTTGGACGAATTCGAACGCCACTGAAAGATTGAGATTTAGAACGAGCTCACATTGAATGCCGACTCGGTTTGGTGGCGCTTAGCAACGCCATTACATCGGTCCGACAGGCAGCCGAATGGGGCATGGGCTCCGCCGAACGTTGCTATCGACGCCTGCAACTACGCCTTCCATTCGACCCCCAAGAACGGGGCCGTCTCCTACGAAATATCTATCGACTCTACAATTTTCGTGTTAGAAAAACAGGTATCAGTCAGATCCGAAGCGTGTTTGCAGAGTACCACTAAGCCTAGTTATCCAGGTTAAGTTGGGAACGATCAATGCGAAGATGTTCGTTTAGAAAACGAGTGTATTTGTGGTTATCCTGTTCCGAATCTTGCAGCACATGTGCAACTACTCTAGGTGCTGGTTGGGTTCGGCTTGTCGCCCAACAGCTTCGTCATCAAGACGAAAAACAACTCGTCACGGCGGTTCTCTCGCTCCTCCCTCTTTGCCTCTCGTTCTTCTCGCTCTCTGCGATATTCCAACTCACGTACCGCAGCACGTTCCTCCATAGCAAGGACTCCCTGCACCATATCGGTACCACCACCGCTCTCTTTTTCCAGCTTGCCCAACAAATTGTCGATCGTCCTCCTGCGTTTGACCGTGTGAGAAATTGCTGCATCTTCAGCAGTCTTACGGGCACGCTTAAGCATTTCACTTAAATTGGCAAGTTCGTTTGGCGTCTTACCGCACCGCTGAGAAGCGGAACGTGCTCCTGCGTTTGCGTTGTCTTTGACAGAAGACGGTGTTGGGGGCGCTGCGACAGGAATCACAGCTTCAGCTGCTACAGAAGTAGCGGTGGAAGCTGTTCCACTGGGAGAAGATGCTGCTGGGGCGGTGGCTTCGGCACTTGGTGATCCTGGTGCAGGGGTGCTCGTGGTATTGACGGGTGCCGTGTCTTCAAACGCCTCAACACCAGAACGAGACTCCATCCTGTAGTACGCGCGCTTAGCGCGAACTACCTCCTCCGGACAGGATGGGTCACCCGTTGGCTTCAAAGCGTTCTTCAACGCCAAAAACTTCCTCTTGATGGCGTCAACGTCACGCTCAGAAAACTCGCGTGGAAGCTCTTGCCGTATCGACCTGCAACAACATCCCACTCGTTTCCTCCCAGAGGCAAGATGTCTTCCACCGCAGTCAACATGCGATTCAGCTCCGGCCCGGTCCAGCTCTTTCCGCGACCTGACTTAGACTTGGAAGGCGCCATTGTGCAATAAGTAGAACAGGAAATGAGGCGGTGATGTTAGTTCAATTAGCTCGGAGCGCCACGACCATCCGAGTGCAGCTACCTGTGAGCCACTAACTGCTCACAAACTGGAGAGACGCCAAACAGGTCTGAACAATTTGTGCAGTGATTTGCGAGCGCCTTTCCATTCAAAAGCAAGCGTGAAAGTGTTGCTTCTTCTTTTTGTGATGTGCAAATTTTGGAAGTCTTCCATTGAGCTACATGATTCCACGCGCCTACACTTTTTCAAACCAAAACCTGTGATTGGCCATCAAGTACGCTGGGTGAACACCAGGTATTGCCAATATAAATGATGAGGCACTAGCCGATCGATGACCATGCTTTTTAAGTTCGTTGAAGCCACACAGGCAAAACCAGTATGTAGACTTGTTATGTAAACCCTTACCGTTTTCTCCTGGATTCTGTTTTAAAAAATGATAATAAGTGAAGTGTATTGTGCATTACCATTGCTCTTTATGACCGTCTCATCAACCTGTACTAGCGCCAAAATCTGGAAGAACTAGGACCGCTTTCTCGCGTCATTAAGCCCGAGATGTTGGCGCTGTCACCGGCAATGTGGGTATGCACTATTGCTGCACGATTGCAGCAATGACTTGTACAGACTCCTGAATTCCGCCAAATTGCTCGTCACGCGGTCGATCGAGGGTAATACGACGGCTACCCACACCAACTTGTCATATGGTGCCCCCTGGGTAAACTCTACCACACCACTGCCGCTGCCTTCAGGTCCCTGAACTCCACAAACAAAATAAAGAAGTCGATCCGAATAATTTCCCCTCTCGTCCCCCGTTGATTTTCTCCTTCAACCTGCTCTCTCCACCTATGGGGTATTGCTCAGACAACTCGCCGGCGGGTAAGGACGACACCGCGCTGACGATCGACATCACCAGCGCTTACCGACATTCGAGGAGGCCCCTTCATACTGCACGTTCGTAAACAAGCGCCGTGTAAACTGCGGAGCTCGTCAACAAGCACTGATGGTTGGTGCTGCAAAGCCGAAGGATGCTGCCGCAGGGCACACACCCTTGCATGCCAGAGTAGGAGTAGGAACAGGAGTAACTATTGCATCTCTAATGGAGCTCACTTCGCAATCTACTTTGCAGCGCGCAAAACGTCATACCACCTTCGAACAATGTACTCTGCCGTCCGCTGCTTCATCAGCGTGTGTTGTGTCAGTGAGTACAGACTCTTCGGATACATGTGATTATCTACAATTTCCCTTTTTAGTTTCTCTACCGCCTCACCCAGCTTGTCCGATAGCTCTCCGAATGGATAGATCTGCTTCACTCTTCAACTCCAAGTAATTACCGTAGCACAGCCCACAACGCACTGGTAATTCATTACGATACGCATGTCTCATCAACTGGCCTCTTCACATGGCTTTCCATCCACTGCATCAGCAATGGTAACTTGAATGTGGAATTACCTTAACGGCAGCGCCCTCCTTGCTTATAATCGGTACTCCATTGTATCCTCGCGTCTGGGCACTCCCATGTGAGATGTGCCTGCCCCGATGTGGATCGGTTATCACAAATCTGGATCCACGTTCTCCAGATACGCTGCCTCCAAAGTTTGGGCTTTGTAATGCTATGCTTCTGGTATCGCGAGCTCCTTGTAACATGTGTACGGCTGGCCAGTCTGACCCCTGCCTTCTGTCACCAGCGCCGATTTGTGTTAGTCGCCTTTGTTTTGCTTTTCTTGATGCTGTCTTTTGCTGTACTCCGATCGTCCGCCTTGGTCATCTTACTTTACCTCCTTCTTGACTGTCTCTATCGTCTCACACCAGTTCACAGTGGACGCGTATATGTCAGTTGAGAATGCGGTATAACTCAAAATTGCTTGTCTACGATTGCAGCTCCTCAGCAATGACCTCTGTTAGAGAAACTATGCCGTTTCTCGCCACTAATTGGATCGCCTTGAACCATGCTTGACAACCGCACTATCATCAGCCCGCTCCAACAAGAAACGATGGTGTGGATCCTCCAGCGTGTTGTGAACTCTCAAGTCTTCTTCTCCTGTCGGTCGGGAGGTCGCACCAGGGAAATGAAGGTAAGCATAACCCATGATATGCATTATTGCTGGTCATCAGCAACGGTTGCCGCATTAGTTTGGACTAGATGATGACTTTGGCTAGAAGGATAATGGTGATGACGTCTTTGATTTTTTCGTCTGTTACTGGCTCCTATTTTTTATACGCGTCGCGTGGGTGCAAGTATGTAAGTAGCTGTTTCTTAATCATTTGTAGTGCTCTTTATTGCCTCATCTTATGCATCGGTCCTGCTAACATCTTACGCTCCACACATAGCCATCCTTGCTCTCATTGCGCAGTAAAGCTGCTGTTGTGTCGTAGTAGTTTCTTCAACTCCGCCTATGCATCTATTCCTTCTTCTGTTCGGATTGATGTCCCCCCCCCCCCCCCTGAGTTACTTCCCAACCAATACTCTGCCCGTTCGCCATATATCCTTATCAGCCGAATGGATGGTCTACTGACTCCCGCAGTGGGGTGTTCTCCTTGTACTCCTGCCCCGCACTTGAGCAGCCTGTCGACCGTTTGCTGTTACAGATTTGTGGTGTATTCCCATGCTCAGGCCACCACTGCTGCCATGGTGAGTAGCTCCGTCCTGACGTTTGACACTTCTAATCCTCCAACTTGACCCCAATCCTTCACTTGATGCCTGGTCTGGTAATCCAAAGCTTGAGTGCCAGATGAGATTCCTTGTCCTTCAGCCCGCTTCCCGGTCCTGCTGTGAAAGCCAAGCATGCCTCACTACGTGCAGTAGCTTACTTAATATGATTACCGCTTCTATGGCTACCAGTTCCGGTGCGGTATTGTCCATGCAGAGCACCAACGCCAGTCGTTACCACTTCATCTCAAATATGATGCCGCATATAGGATTACACTTTGCGCGATTTGTCACTTCTGGTCCAATTGTGACGCGAAGCGGACCAAATTATTGCTCTCAATTGTACAACTGTATTGATGTGCCCAATTTAACCTTGCGAGAAGTATTGTCGGCAAAACGCTGAAAAAAGATACCACAAACTGTCCTATTTTACACTCTTTATAACTTTTATGTCCGGTGTTTGCTCAATCTCCACGCATACTGAAATCAAGATATATAATGTGGCACCATTTTGAGACAGCAAAAACAGTTGAATGAGGCATCACTTTGAGACGGAGTGGTATTCAAGACCCCAAATGCTCCCGGCTATGCGATGACAGTGATGCCCCCGTTCCCGATGATGTGATCCTGGCCGTTGGTGCCCCACTTGCTGCGCCACTGGTAACTGTCCATCCAATCTACAGTTCTACACTGACATTCAGGGGCGCATACGCGAGTAGACCGTACCGTTTTGAGCAGGCCCCACCGTCATCACTCCACATGAGGCTAGACAAGCCAATCTCTCAGCATAAACTATTTGATATTGACGTTGAGCGCAATGCTGATCAGCATGGATTCAGGAACCAACCTGTGGTGAGCCAGTCTGGACACACTCGACCTACACAGCATCATTCGTACCGCGCTCACTCTAAAACAAATACATGTAATTGGTGACGCTACCCGACACCTAGCCTGCACCAAAGTTGCTTGATGCTGCTATTGAGGACGGCACCTCCTGAACAGGCCTACGACTAGGTACGACTCGAGGCTGGTGAGGCAACATTGACGGCAGTGATGTAGCACAAAATCACTGGATTTATTTCTGGGTCCACCTCTAGCACGGAAATGAATTACATGTAGCCAGGTTGGTAGCCGAACAGGGGTACCTTTTCACGTTACGCAAGCTTTTTATTTCCGACTTAGACAATATCGATTTAGAAAGTGACTCCCCAGTCATAGCAAAAATATTTTTTGTTATAACCATTGGGTGGTCATACTAATGAACTCAATTGCCAAAAAGGTCACTTGCGTTTTTAAACTGCGCGCTTCCATCCATTATTACGTGCATCGGCCACCATTTTCCGACATGTATAACATATCTAAATAATGTCCCTGAACTTTGAACTCACAAAAATGACTGGAACTATATCCCAAACGTAGGTTTTATAATATATGTGACTGGCACCCTTTCGTGAACGGGCACGTTTAACCTGGTTATATTATAGTATAGAAGATCAAGTTATTAGACCGTCAAAGGGGCATTTTGTCCCCTTTCACAAATTACGGAAAATAAGCAAATCTTCTGCAAATCTTTGTGGTTCAAGTAGAAAGGGCGTTTTCGCCTCGTCCACAACAAAATTTAATGAAAGGGGGCACTGTGCTACCTTCCGTGGGTGACGCGAGTGGTACTCGAGGTACACCCTCCAAAGGGAGCAAAATGTCGCCACTGACCACGGTTAAAAAGGATTAGCGTTCCTATTAGCTAAAAGACACCTGCGGCTTGCTAACGGCTGTGTTGTGCTTATAATGAATAACGCGCTGGCACCGAGTAGCCTCGAACAATCAAAATGCGATAATGAGCACTCATCCACCTTTGTAGTTTTTCATACAACTACAAGTATTGCATTGCCTGGCCTTCGTTAATCCTTATTTACAAACCAATAAAGGTTTCAATATTGACAAATACGAATTTTAAATCCGACGGTATTCGGAGAGGTACCACTGTCTCAAATTCTACGAGGTACCTGGTCAAAATCAAATGCAATTACCTCGTAGTTCTCTTCCATTTAACTCCCTGGTTATCAGCTCATTCACGAACTTGCCTTTATGGTAGCCATGGGGAAGGAGATGTCAGCGAAAGCCTCGAAGACCCACCGTCGTGTGGAAGATCTCCACGCCATTGTTTGTTGGCTAGAGCACCCTCCCAACTTCACCAAGTGCTTTGATACGACTGGAAAAAACGTCCATAGGGAAGCAGTCGTCGAAGTCCGAGGGGTTCAAGGGGATGGTAGCAGCATTGGCGTCGACCAGCAATGGCAAATGTCGATTGAAGCCCAACCAGATGCGAGATCGCTTTGCAATCTACAAGAATCGCTATCTGCGTACAAAAGAGCACGAAAGCACCACGGGTACGGGTGTAACCGTAGAAGGCAAAAGCTACGGCATCTTCACGCTGACACAAAAGTTAGATTTAATGTGCCCTTGGTACGAATGGATGGGCTCTTTGGAAAAAAGTCGAACGTCATACCTCTTGACGCCTACAACTCTACCTATGCTGTTGAGTCCACTTCTGTATCATTGACCGAAGGCACCGAGTCGTCTGGATGAAGCGATGGCGCAGAAGCGACTAGGGTGTGCACTGGGGAAAGCGAAGGGGCTACATCACTGATTGAAGCGATGGCGCAGAAGCGACTGGGGTGTGCACTGGGGAAAGCGAAGGGGCTACATCACTGATTGAAGCACTTGAGCCGAGTGAGGTGCTTTTTGCTACCGGTGGCAGTGAGATCGCGAGACCGCTTCAACCACCCAACCTCCTGAAAGCCCGGCCCCGGTTACACAGCCTCAGCTTCACTATTAGCGATGATTCCGATGTGGAGTCTCCGGCATCACTCGCTGATATTCCATTGGTCCAATCAACCCCAGCTAGCTCCTCAACAACGCACGATTCCCGGTTTGCTCCCGCAGCTCGAAAATGTAATGCAATCCAGCCTAAACGGTCCGTTCTCGACGTCAATCCAAAGGGAAAGTCTCAACTATCCAAGAAAGCTCGACTTTCGTCAAAGCCAACAACACTAAATGCGTCTCCACCTAGTATACGCGGTAGCGGCAGCAGAATCGCAACTCCAATGAAGCTGGCGGCAGAGTCCAAGGCGAACGGTAAGGGCCCCCTTTGAGCTGCGATCTGGAGATTTATTTGATGGTTGTTAACAAACTAGCTGGTGTGTTCCAGTTGAGAAACAGCGACTGGAATTTGATAAGGAGAAATGGTCTAGTGAGACAAACGGGCAGTCAATTCATTGTTTGTTATTTCGCAGTACTAATATGTCTTTGCACTTACGATGTTTTCCAGCCCAAGAAGCACTTGAACGGGATCGTCTAGCTTTTGAAAAGTCGAAGTGGGAAAAGGAGCGTGAGGATCGACGATCGGAGCTAAACGAGGAGAAGCGATTTCACGTCTTGAGCTCATTAATTGAGAAGGGTCGCAGTGCCGAAGAAGCTGAAGCATTTCCAAATCTGCTGTAGGTGTCCTATGTCGCGGTCAGAAGATCTTTCTTCAAGCTCCGGAGGATTAGCAATTCAGCAACAGTTATCACATATACTTACTACAGCACTACCAATGTTTGCTAAGATACTGTTGTCAGCTTGGTAAGTCCCTGTTGAATGGCATATTTGTCGAAGTTGATGAATTGTTCTACTTGTGGGTGATTTTTTAAGTATATAGTTGCTGTCGTTGCTGTTCTACGATTTCGTGTAAGCGTGGCCATAAAGACATCGGCTTGTGCCTACGCTGTATACACCTGAGATGAGTTCCACTGAATCCCTTAAGATTCGTTGTATTTTTTTCAAAAGCAGCGGCACATACGCTAGCGAACTATAACTGGAATCCTGAACCATGCGTTGTGGCGTACTCCTCTCAGCAAACGCCGCCGAGTACTGAGTGTAATAGGCTTGACGATCTCTCGAATTGATCCTTGTTCTTCGCGTTCATCGATGTCGACATTGTGGTTTGGTCCATCGTCCTCCAAGAACATTCTTTCCCAGCCATCCCCAAGCCGCGCCATCATGTTGTCAAGTACACAACACCCAATTGCCCCAATTGCCCAGTCGATCAAATGGGTCATCTCTTCTTTCCACCGTAACTGAATTCGAAGTTCACGTAGAGAAGACCATCTCCCCTTCAGAACTCCAATTGTGTGCTCGTTTCGCACTCGAGACATGGCAATATAGTTGTTGAACTCTTTGTTGTCTGGTATATCCGCTTGTGGAGACCTATACGCTGGTAATACGGTCTGCATTAGCGGGTAGGCAGAGTCAGTTAAGAGATACTCTCCTCTATCAAAGTAGCGAAGTCCCTCACGATAAAGTTCCATTCGTTTAAACAGATTCGAGTCTGCACAAGAACCGGGGCAACCATAGTGCACTGCAATAATTCTTTTATCGCAGTCACAAACAACCTGCATTAACACTGAGTATCTACAAAGATAATTAGTTTTGGTTTCAATTTCACAGTCATTAGCTTACCGTTTTTTTTTTGTCCCAGTAGCTGCTTCCATCTACCGCCGGGCAATGTGAGGGCGGCAACGCCGTTTCATCTATTAATCCTACGCAGCCAGGGAAGCACTCTGCAGCCATCACGGCTGAAATTTCACGCCTCCTAGCTCGAGAAGGCCGCGATATCCACTGTTGGCGTACCGTTTTGAAAGCGAGTAAGACTCGAGTAGTTTAAATGACGACTGATCCAGTAGCTATTCGAAACCGTCGATGGAATTCGCCAACGCTGGCGGCGTTTCCGTTTTCACCGAGGCGGGCAAGAGCGACGGCGAGCCACAGGTCTTTGCTTGTCGGTTACATTGGAGTGAAAAACGTCATTGTAGTATATGTAGTCATGAAGGGCAGCGAATGAAGACTTGGAAACCCGTGTCAGCTGTCGAAAATCGTTGTCTGGTAACGCCATTAAGGCATCAAACTCGACGCCCCGATGAGGCGATCCGACGCGATCATACCGATATCGGCTTGTAAAAACGGATAGGAACATCACCCATTGCATATCCGTCTCATTCTCATCGCCATTGGCGATGCTGATGGTGCAGGTGGCATCCAAATCGTGGAGAAGTTGGCGCCGCTCTGAAGTGTACGGCATCAGTAAAGGGGGAAGTAGATGCCCTCAAGGGATTTTCAAGTCCAGCAGGATCGACGCAGCTGGAGTTGAAAATCCAAATTCACCGTGGTATCTTGGTGTGTACAGTGCTGAAATCAGAGTGGTACAGCTGGCAAAATACTGTCGTATTTGAGAGGCGCACCCGCCGCGAAATCCGACGCGGATTCGCTTATTTTGAAACCCTAATAGAGACCTTTCGAAGCTATGTTGGTTGTTGATTGTGGAATATATGCACACAAAATGGCTATTATCGAAGTCAATTAGTAATAGCTAATATCCTATCCAACAACGCCATCCCAAAAGTCGCCAAGAAGTGCTTTTTGTATCCCACAGAGATGTTGGTTGTTGAAATCTGTGCTAACTAATGCGATGCAATATTTAGTGCACTTTAAAAATATAGACGATTACAGTGCATCATGATATATGGGGGTTGGATGGTACGACGCAGGCACGTGGACAATGAATGCTTTGTCGTCGGGGGCAGCACGGCGCTAAACACTTAAACACTTAGATCTTAGGTCTGTCCTGAGGCTGCGCAGATGGCACAGGTAAATGGTGGGGGCGGCAGTGTACACCGAGCTTCGTGGGCGGGGGTATGATCATATTGGGCTACGATTCCTGAGGTCGTGGGTACGAGCGTCTCAAGCGGCGGCATGATATTAAACACTAAGACCTTGCTCTTGTCTGGGGAGGCATACCGTTGACATCGAAGCTGTGAGCGTATGCGGTGCAGCGCTGATCATTTGTTCGTGTGTGTGCACGAGTGGCTCGGAATCACGCTCGTAAGGGTCATGTAGGGGAGAACTATTTCTCTCCATATTTTAATACACTAAAACCATAACTGGGAGCGAATAGGCACTTCCCACATCTAACACTCGAACCATTTCGATATCGTTTGTTGGATGAGGAATACAGCAATCCTTTAATCCACGATCGACGAAGGCTCACTCACTCACTCACTCACTCACTCACTCACTCACTCACTCACTCACTTACTCACTTACTCACTCACTCACAACCACAGCTAAGCGAGTTGGTAAGAATTGATTGAATTCCAGCGCAAACAACAACGAGTGCGTTAAATGGCGAGCGTAAGTGCAGATACACAGACTCAATTCATATACAACTACGTTTTTTGAGAGCTCGATACAGTGCCAACGCCCCTCGTTTTCAGTCAACTGGGGCATTGCTGAATCCTTGATTATAGTGGATTTAAGCCGAATGGAAGCAGTTTCATCAGGACTTATTGTGCAATGGTGGCACTGATAGTCCGCCAAATTATGACAGCCACGACGGTTGACAATAAGGGTCCAAATATTGCAGAATAGTCGCCTTACCTAGATGTCATTACAAAAACGGAGCGGGCTCTTAGGGAGTCATCTGCTCCTGAACCCAATTACGGGATTACCGATATCAGAGTAACCGGGAATTATTTTATATGCTTCCATACCAAAAAATATCGAACCAGATGACATTATCGGACCTGTGTACTGCACACATTTTCTGTGTTTTGCACATAGTTTATCTCGGATAGGTACGATGATTAGGGGAGTCAAATGCTGATGTGAATGGTTAAAGCGTGGTCAAACAGACTGTTTTATAGGCGGCAGGAAATGGCCTGAAACGCCCTCTGGGCTGAGAAAATCGCTATTTTGTATTT